ATTATACAAATCATAATTATTATTATAATAATATGCAAATAATAATAATTATTATTATTATATACAAATAATTATTATTATTATTATATAAATATAATAATAATAATAATAATAATATAAATATAATAATTATTATAATAACACAAATATAATTATTATTATAATAATATAAATATAATAATAATAATAATAATAATTTTTATAATTCTGTATTTAAGAAACTTTCACGACTTTTTCCAAAATCACTATAAACTCTGATCTATCCACTATTTGTCTCCTTATCATTTCTAATTCTACCAATCGCTTTCATCCACTATTTTCCTCCCCCAATTTTCCTCCATTTTCACAAATCATTTTCCTGTCCGCGAACGAATGTCATAATCGCGGACCTCCAATAAATCCAATCTCATACCTCGCTTGCACAAATTTTTCGTACAAAAAGAGTCCGAACGCGATCGTTTCCTATACCACGACGCGAAGGATCAACGTGGAGAACTTGATCTCTTGGATCGACTTAATAAAACCATCGGGATTCTTTAAGGAAAGTATTCGAAGGGTGTACGAAGAGCGCGAGTCATTAATATTCCACGAGCCGCGGCCGGCCACGGGGGGAGGGAAGAACTAATGAATCCATAATGACCGGTGGACCGCGTATAAAGTCGGCCATGATTCGATATGGAGCATGCTGTTAGGTCTAATTAAATTCCTGATCAACTTGGCCGGCCTGGACACTGTATAACGGCCGCCGAGAAGTTGATAGGTCGTTAATTTGTTACCGCGTTGCGGCCGTCCCGCAAACGACCGCGCGGTTTTCTCCGCGCGCACGGGAAAGAATTCTCGCGCGGAATAATTAAATCCGTCGTTATAATCGCCCGATCAACTATCATCCCCCTTTCCCCGATGTATCATCGTTAATCGTTAATCGTTGAATTATACGAAACGGTTCGCGCCGCGGGGCGAGGGGAGACAGGGGGGGCAAAAAAGATGGACGTTCATAGCGTGCCCGATATCGGTTCGATTTTAATTACCGTGGAATATGTTTGCCACCGTATCCCCCCCCCCATCCCCGCCGCGAAATCGATTATCCGTGGGGCCAACGTTTTAATTAATTAACGCGGCCAGTTGACGTAACGTGGCAGCCGTGTTACGTTCAACTTGCGTTGTTCCACGAATGCTCTGGTCTTATCGCGGCGCGCCGAGATAATAGACTATCACTTTGGTTCGACCTATAGCGAGGGGCCGCGTCGATAACTGTCTGGTTGGCCGGAAAGTTCAGTAGCTCTTCCATACATATTTTAAGGACGGAATGGGAAATTTGTATGCAAAGGATGTTAACAAACCCCCGGCCAGAGATAACCGGGGATAGAAAGGAACGGGAAATATGGTCGTGCGGGACGATAGTTGTTATTAATTCTCTCTTTTTTTTTGGAACCTTCGCTGGGGCGCGATTGAATTTTCCATCGTGGCCAGCGTGTCGGCGATCCACGACAAGTTGCGTTCCGTTAATTCGAGCAACGTAAATCTCGCCGGATTTCGGAGCGACAGGATCGCAGATGATCTGCAATTTCGAAGGAAAAAATTGTAAAATATTAAACCGTGTACGGTCCGGATGGAATATGTTGTTTTCTCCGTCGATTTCGTGTCGGAATAAAATCAGTCAGAATGAAATACCGTTCGAAAAAACTTCTGTTTCGTGAAATAAAATTATTTCATTCTCGCGCGCGTTGCGAAGGTGTGAATAATTATTGTTTGTAACAGACTCGAATAGCGGCAATTGCGACAAATTTGTGGTTAGCGTGTTATTTTTTCTGTTAATCGTTTTACTAAGTCGAAGATAATAGAACCGAAAGCAATGTAACGCTGATTGAATAAAATATTCGGTTTTATTGAATATTTTATTGAATAAAATTTATTTTATCGAATATTTTATTGAATAAAATATTTCGGTTTTCTCAAAATATTGAAAACAATTAAATGACGGAAAGCGAAGAACTGTAAAACACGTATCCCCTAATTTAAGACGACCCTAACTGGTTATTTGGCACGACTGACGCACCACGATTTTTTCACCACGTCTCTCAGACGTGATAATCATTTCTGGCCCGATTTTTTTATCACGTCTCACAGACGTGATAATCATATCTAGCCTGATTTTATTACCACGTCTCTCAGACGTCATAGTCATTTCCGACCCGATTATCTGACCACGTCTCTCAGACGTGATAATCATTTCTAGCCCGATTTTTTGACCACGTCTTTCAGACGTAATAGTCATCCTTGGCCCGATTTTTTGATCACGTCTCTCAGACGTCATAGTCATTTTTTGCCCAATTTTTGATCACGTCTCCCAGACGTGACGATCATTTCTGGCCCAATTTTGTACCGCGTCTCTCAGGCATGATAATCACTTCTGGCTCGATATTTTGACCACGTCTCTCATACGTGGTTGTAGGGCGAAGGGTTACGCGTGCAGATGTTTGAAAATTTTCGAACTAGAAACTTCTGTGTAAAATTGTTTTCGCACGTTAATAACGAGCAACGGTATGCCGTCATTTCAAAACAATTTCCGTCGACTAATTAATTTGTCAAGCGCAAAGCACGACTCTTTGCGAGTGCTATATATATCTTTCCATTTCGTACGAATACGTCTCGTTTCATCTAATAATGCTAAATTGTATCGACATCGAATATACGTATATATACATATATGTATATACATATATCGACGTGTCATATTTCGTACACGATCCTAAATCACGGGCTACATTAGATCGAATTCAATTACGTCATGTTCGCCTGTCCAATTTAAAAGCCCGTTGTTTCGACGTGCCCCGACCCCGATATTAATTCTACAAAAATTCCAATTAAACCGGAATGATGTGTGCTGCGCGCGGAAATATAGAATGGAATTTCCGGCACCATGGAGACGTTAGTTTCAGCTCGCGGCTCGTACAATAACGAGGAAGAAGAACATTCCGATGGGAAACGAACGAGGGCGGGTCCATTAGTCGTAATAAATACAAGTTGAAGATAATGAGTGGCTTTCTAGAAATTCGCGGCGGTAATTTCAGAAAATATTATCGTGCTCGTTAGCGCCGCCAGGGGAGAATAAAAATAGGCGGCGACCATAAACCAGCAGCAGCAGCAGCAGCACCGTTGATATTCGACGATGAATATATTTTCTACGGTGAAATTGACACGCTGGTTTCTGCGGGTGACGCAGATGAAGAGAATTGACGAGAAGCAACATTACAGAGGTATCGAGGGATGGATAATCAAAGATTGATGTTTGCGCCTGCCGCGGCTCGTCCAATATCAGTCAGACGCGGTGATTGATCGGAACATCGGAACCTTTTATGGATAGACTGTTCGAAAACCCGCAAGGTTATTCCCCGTTACACCGGGAAAGAATGAACGGGACGGCGAGCGTGTTCTTAGATCATTCTATTTCCGTCGTTTCGGCTCCATTTTTTGTTTCTCCGCCGTCGATGAAACCGACGTTCTACATGTACGAATTCTGCGCTGGATTTTGCGAATTATTATTTTCGGTAGTTTTCATTTTAACAAGAATCGCGAAGATTTCGAGCAGAATCTACTACATGTATAATGCTATCTTTCTATTTTGAATGAAAATAAGGTTCAACACGTCTATTATGCAGGCACAGAATAAACGTGAATTTCTGTTCTTTAATAAGAATTTAGTAAGAAAGAAATGATCTTTAAAGAAATGATCATCACGTCTGAGAGACGTGGTCAAAAAATCGGGCCACAAATGATTATCACGTCTGAGAGACGTGGTTAAAAGTCGGGCCAGAAATGATTATCACGTCTGAGAGACGTGGTCAAAAAATCGGGCCAAAGATAACTATTACGTCTGGCTAGAAATGATTATCACGTCTGAGAGACGTGGTCGAAAATCGGGCCAAAAATGACTATGACATCTGGGAGACGTGGTCAAAAGATCAAGTTAGAAATGATGATCACGTCTGACAGACGTGGTCACATAATCGAACCAAAGAAGATTATCACGTCTGAGAGACGTGGTAAAAAAATCGGGCTAGAAACGATTATTACAAATATAAAATAGATATTATAATTTTTTATATTTCCGTTGTAGGCTCAGATAAAAAACTTAAAAAGTTATCGAAACCTAAATCATAGGGCAAGGGGTTAATAAATAAAACGAAGTCCATCTTACAATCTGAAAAGTGTAGATCGTTTGATATTCGAATATTAATACACAAAGTCAATGATAACAATACTGTACGCACATAAATATAACCATTGTCGTGGCATCCCTGTCGCAAACGCAAACGAAACAATTCTCGCCGATCGTTACAAGCTACTTTAGCGATCGCCATGAACAACCCCGTAACGATGGCTCCAGCGATCATGATCTCGACCATGCTGACGGTAAATAATAGGTAAACTAGGATAATCTTTCCCGTAATTACCGCCGGTGCCAGAGTGCCCGTAATGATAGCCGGTTCCGCGGTCATCAACACCTTTATTACGATCATCGTTAAGACTCTGTTTCCTAGCATGCTCGTAGCCCTTGCCGTATCCATTATGGTCACCGTCGTCTTCGCTGTATTTTTGCCCGTCGCTCTCTTTCCCGCTATCGCCGAAATGAATTTCGAATTCGCTGTCGTAATGGTAACCAGAGTTCTTGTAATCGTCGCCATCATGTCCACGATTCCCGTCTCCTTTCCCGTCGCCTTTGTCTCCATCGCCGTGTCCAAAATGAACGCGATGGTAACTGTGATAACCATCGTCTCCGTCTTTGTCGCCGTCGGAATGATGGTGGTAACTACGATAACCGTGACTATGGTGGTAATCGTGTTTAAAATCGTGATTGTATCCATCGGAGTCGTCTTCGCTCTGTTTGTCCAAAGAGTTGTGCACGGAACCAATGCTGCCTGAAAACAATTCCCGTTGAATAATCATTGTACTGAGAGGAGAAGACAGTTTTCTCATTCTGTACCGCATGGAAGACGAAA